TTTTAATGATTTTTTTTTCTCTTACTGAAAATATTTGCTTGGTTTTAAATTTAATCCATATACAGAGGTCTCCCTGAATTACCTTTGCAATGATAAACCTGCTTCTGAAATGCAATTTGGGGGAGGGGGGAATAGGAATCTTTCCTGTGCTGAAATATGCCACTGACAAGTGTAAGAAGGATTTAAAAGCATCTGCATTTATGGTTAGCTGTAAATACAAGCACTTAAGCTCTTAATCCTCATTTAGCTCTGAGAAATAGCTTGAAGAGAAGGAGGCATTGTTAGCACTGGCCTCTGCTAAGAATCTTTTAATAACTTTCAGAGAACTCTTCATAAACAGAGATGTCCTGCAGTTTTACCTTTCCCTGAAATCCTGCATACAGTTTAGCACAAGAACAGGGGAAACTGTTGTGCAGAAAATTATTCTCCAAAGCACCAGAGAGCAGGACAAGGAACAATGGTTGGAAACTAATCAAAGAGCGAAGCAACCTGGAATCAAGGAGAAACTTCCTAACAATGAGGACTATTAATTAGTGGAACAGCTTTCCTCCAGAAATTGTGGGTGCTTCCTCACTGGATGTTTTCAAGAAGAGTCTAGACAGTCACTGATTTGAAATAGTATAGGTTTTTCTGGTTGAGCAGGAGGCTGGACTAGAAAACCTCCAAGGTCCCTTCCAGCTCAGTCATTCTAAATCTAAATGATGCCCCATGAAGAAACCTTTCAGGGTAACAAGGTTTAAGGCAGATTTTGGCTGCCTCATGGAAATGTTTTTGCTTGAAGCATTGTTTTTACTTGCTGGAATTGCAGACTATGGACAAGATTCACACAAATATGCCAGTGTGACTTTGCTGAGTTCCGGAAGAATCAGGCATGTTCTCCTTGAAAGAGCCTGTGACCGGACAGCTGGAATTCCTAAGATTTATTCTGCAACTATGTGCCTTCACAATAGACTTATTATTTTCATAATGCTTCTGTATTCTTATCCTATTAGAGATGATACATAACCTGCAATAATTATATCCCAATTGCCTTTGTTGTTGTTTTTCCATGAAGAAAAGTAATAACCATCTTTTCTTCCCTTTGCAAATGTTTCTGTTGCAGAAATTGCTTGGTAATAAAGCAAAGTCTAAAAATGTTAATATTCTTGTGGTGTGTAGAAATTGTAGTGGGGATGTCCAAACACATTTTCCCTTTTCTCTTTTTTTTTTTTGTCTGCTTGTTTTTTAAGGTATCCACACTCTTCCTATTAGGAACAAAATGGCAAAAGGTTTTTTTTCTCTCTCTAGGGATATGAGGTTCATCTGGTTACAACAGCTGTTGCTCCTCTGACTGATAGGTTTAATTTGGCTAGCTAAGCAAATGTCCTCTTACACTTCTAGGTGTTTCCACCAGAAGTAGGACAAGCTCCATATGCTCTGCTTTTATTTTGCACTATAAAGATACAAAACTCATGTGAAAAGCCTTTTTCCGGACTAAAACATCCATTTTGCCCTTAAAAATAAATTTCCTCTCACCATGAAAAAAAAAATACAATTTTTCATCCCTTTCTCTCTGGTGATGTTGTCATCAGACAATTCTCCTGCAACCTTCAAGGGTGAAATCTACAACTATAAAAAGTATCCTGTCCCTCCTTACCCCCAAAAAGTTGATTGTCAGCTGTGCTTTTCTGATAGAACCTTCAGCGTGGACTTCAGTGGCTTCTGCTGAACATTATTTATTATATTAATTACATTTTTATCAGTATCTTCCAGGTATAGAGCTAAGGGGCTCATTGAAACTCACAAAAGTATATTTGAATCTTTTTCTGCAGTAGCACCTCCGTTAGTATCTGTAATTGCTTCTTAACTCCAACCTAACCATCTGCTACAATGTTTGGAATATTGGCCAAAAGTTGGCAAGATACAAATTCAAATCCACATAAGCCACGCATTTCTTTAGATGAATTGTGCAAACCCCTACTTTTCACCATCATTTATTATAAGGATTTGGCTATTTGAAAGAAAAGGAGGAACAGGCAAGTAATAAATCTGCACCACACATAACAGGACATGGCTAGATATAATCCAGGATCCATTCTTTCTTCAACTTGATGATGATGTTCGTCCATCGTGTTCGAAGGGGACCTTGACATCTAATGGGTTGTGGTCTTTACACGGTGTGTCCGCAGGTGGCTGGTAAGGCCTATACAGGCATGGAATGTTCTGCCACATGTCGGGCAGACATGTATGGGCGCCATTGTTGCAACATTTGCAGCTCTGGCTTTGCGGAGTGCATGCTTCTCTTGTGCTGTGGTTCTTCTTCTGTCTTCAAATGTCTGGCAGCCTTGGTGGATCAACGTGAACCGTGTTGATCAATCTTGTACCAGGGTTTCCCAGGAGGTGGTGTCAATATCCAGGGAATTGAAGGAGGCTTTTAACTTGTCCTTATATTGCTTCCTTTGTCCATTCCCCGCCCCTCCCCTGTGGTGTGATTGCTTTCCTTGAGACAGCTCACCATAGAGGAGCTGTTTGGGGGTGTGATGGTCTGGCATCCTTGCAACATGGCCTGCCCAGCATGTCTGGGCTTTCATTAGCAGGGTATGAACTGATGGCAGGCCTTTTCTGGAGAGGACTTCTGTGTCTGGCACATTCTTTCTTCAACGACAATCTTTCCAATGACAACAGGTACAAGTGAATTTGTGAAACTTTGCCCATTTCTTACACCCTGGTTATGCATTTGATTTGCTTG